AGGTACCGGAACTCGGTCGTCTGGGCGTATTTCTGTCCCGCGGCTTCGATGGTCAGCGGTGGAGGCGGGGGGGGCTGTGATGTTGTAGTCGGCTTGTCCTTCGCGCGCATCAGGAGCGTCTCCCTCTTCTTCTCCGACACCGTTAGCCCGAACTCCCCGAACACCCCAACGATGATGGTCATTATTCTCGTCAGCCCTTCTGCAGACCTCGATACGAGGCCGGCATCATCGGCATGCAGAATCACCCATACTGCCCTCCGAACTCGCTCAAGGGGTGTTTCCTTCCCCCCCCCGCTTCCGTCTTCCCCTCCTCCAAGCACACCAGGCTCCGCAGAACAACATCATCCTCGCTGAATCGGATGACAACGACCTCGAGGACCTCGGCGAAGAAGATATTGAACAGCAGTGGATACAAACCACTCGGGAAAAAGAAAACAAAATAATTGAAAAAAAACACCAGCTACCGCACCGATCGGTCGAGAAAAGAGCCCCCGGAAACCGATCAAAATAAAAAAAAAGGACGCTTCCCACGTCCGCCTAAAGAAAAAACAACAAAGAGAGTAACGCACCAGCACCAGAATCCTCGTCAAAACACCACAGGCAAGAACCGAGCTCTGCAGAGATGGGTTGATGCAAGGAAAGTCGCCGCTTGGAAAATACGGANACAACGTGATGACGTTCATGCAGATTTGTTCCGCGACCGGCTGTGATGTAATAGGACTTCAGGAGACCCGACGAGAGGGGCAAGGTTCAATTGCACACCACGGGTACGTGATCATCTGGAGTGGCGCCCGTGCTGGCATCAACGACAAGAGGGGCGTACACGGTGTGGGCATGGCGATCAAGGAGGCCATGTGGGAGAGTGAGGGCGAGGAAGGTAGGACGGTGGAGTGCATTAGCCCGAGGCTGATGAAGGTGCGTCTACAAATTGGCCGCACCTGCGGAGTAACTTTCGTGGTGGGGTACGCTCCCACGGAATCTGTCCGCACCACCGCGGGCGGTGATGTTAACGCCAAGGACTCCTTCTGGACTGCTCTCGACGCAG